ACCGCCGCTATGTTGATGACTGTTTCTTGATTTTCCAGTCTGCTGATCATATACCTCCATTTCCCTCTTATCTAAATCGCCAGCATCCTAATATTAAATTGACTAGTGAAGTTGAATCTAGTTCCACACTTCCCTTTCTTGATATCAGCATTTCTCGGAAGAATGGTGTTTTCGAAACTTCTGTCTATCGAAAGCCCACCTTCACAGGTCTGTTTACCAACTTCCGTAGCTTTATTCCTTTTCAATATAAACGTAGCTTAGTTTCTTCTCTTATTTATCGCTTCTTTAGTCTTTGCTCCAATTATGTATAATACCGCCAGATTCTTAATAAGAATTGTTATCCAACTCGTCTTTTTGATCACTGCGTACGAATATTTTCAGAAAATGTGTCTCAACCCAAACCAGCTGTTCATTCTGCTCCTAAGAAAGTTTTATATTTTTCTCTTCCATATACTGGCGCTCACTCTCTTCAAATTCGCACCCAAATCTCCCGTCTTTGTTCCTCGGCCTTTCCCCATCTTAATATTAGATTCGTTTTTCGTCCAACTTTGCGTTTGTCTCAACTTTCCACCTTTAAGGACAAAATTCCTAACGCTTTAAGATCTTGTGTTGTGTATTCCTTCACGTGTCGTTGCTGTTCCGCAACGTATTTGGGCCAAACGGTCCGTCACTTGCACCCACGAGTTTCTGAACATTTGGGTGTTTCTCCTCTAACAGGCAGTAAAAGCAGCAATCCGACCATGTCTAGTATCCTTTCCCATCTTGATAGCACTGGTCACTCCGCCTCTCTTAATGATTTTAAGATTATTTCCTGTTGCTCTTCTCCAGACGAACTCCTCATTCGAGAAAGTCTTCTCATTAACAAACTCAAACCCTCTCTCAACTTACAAGGCAGCTCGGTCCCTCTACTTCTACTCTGATCCATTCCTCTTTCTACTTTTGTGATATAATATCTTGTAAATAGTTGTAATTTATTCATATTTCCGTGTTTTTCGCTTTGTATGTCATTGCTCTGAAGATGTCTTAAGTTAAAGACGAAACGTTAGCTTTAAAATAAATATTTTAAATTATATTTTTGTTATGGCTCTTTTACGTGTTTTATGCTGGGCATTAATATTTATCCTAATATTCCGATTTCCGCCTGGTTCATCTATCGCAAGTATTTATATGTGTATAAAATTAAAACACCTCAAGTGGCAGAAACTTGATCTCAAATATTTGATCATGTTGGATAAAAACTATTTAGCTATTGTGTACATGCTTTATAAAGTATTGATTGACTGATAATAGCTCTACAAATCTACTTTATAAAGATAATAATAATATAATCTTTGGTTATATTTTTAGATCTAATGCAACTGGCAATTGCCTGTATAGCTCTGTTTCAATCCTAAGCATTGACAGGCACCAATGACCCATAAATTTGACCTTGATAGTTCAAATGTTTACAGTGCAAGTGTGAAAGGTCTATATATACAGTAGGTCACTTTTTATACAGTATAAGCGAAGAAGCACTATGTTTGAAGACTAATTAAATTAAATGACTTGGCTTGGTCATGATGCAAATTCACCAGGATATTATTCCTAACATACTGTAGGAAACTTTATTAATAAATTTTCTGGAACATGAGGTTAAAGTTAAATATATCGGCTTGCAAATAGCCCACTCTCGCCTCCAATCAGGGCTTTTTTTAACATACAAGCGGGGGGGGGGCATTTGCCCCCCCAGTCCCCCCTTGTGCCCCCCCCACGAGATCACATTTTGCCCCTCCCCCCAGGAAAAGTCCCTTATTCCTAAAATTATACAAACAATCCAGCGAAGATTAACAAATAGATAAACGGTTTAACAAAATCGATTTAAATTGTTACTTTTTTACCACTAAGCCATGATAAATTATGGTTAATATTTTTGTTTATTTTTTGGATGCTCAGAATGCAGAAAATAGCATTTCACGGTTTCAAATTTCAAAAATTTTCTTGGGATTATTCCTCTAATAAGCAATGATAAATTACAGTTAATATTCTTTTTTACTTTTTGTGCATTTATCCATCTTTTATTTCAAATACAACTATAGTTAGCATAAATTTTAGAGCAAATTTGGATGCTCAGAATGCAGGAAATGGCATTTCCGTGGTTCAAATTTCAAATATTTTCTGGGGGAGTACACCCCCACACAACTGACCATTGCTATCCTCCTCTAATAAGTAATGATAAATGATGGTTAATTTTTTTTAACTTTTTGTGTGTTTCTTTCTTTATTTATTTCAAATACAAGTATAGTTAGGATAAATTTTGGAGCAAATTTGGATGCTCAGAATGAGGGAAATGACATTTCCGGGAGTCAAATTTCAAACATTTTCTGGGGGAGTACACCCCCAGACCCCCCATTCATGCGTGGTATATTTGCCACACACGTGGCTTACGTTCATAGTGGACAGTATATAACAAGATGATGAATTTAATTAGATTAGACATAGGTTAGTAATAGGGGGAATGGGGAAGGGGCTAAAGGGAAAAACTGGGCAATTTCACATATTGTCAAGGTGTGAGGTGGGTTTATGGCACCTTAAAACCAGATTGCTCATTTTAGGTGGTTTTCATTGTTACCCATTTCTAAGTTCTAACCAAACTCCTTTTGCTCTTGCAAAAGGTGTGAAGGCAAGCAATAAGGTGCCAGAAACATGTGCTTGTGTTCAGCTTTTTCAAGGAGCTGTCCTTGTTGGATCATGGTTTACTATTTTTGGTAAATGTGTTTCCTAGGCATGCTGATGAACCAAGCAAGGTATACACTGTACTGACTGTAGGGCAAAACAGTCTATATATTACTTTATCATACATATGCTGAACATTGGCAGGTACGAAAACTATGTCATTTGCGCATTTGTAGTTTGATAAAATAAAATATCTATACTCCCACGAAAATTGGACTATCATCGTGACATCGAATGACGTCATGGCAAATGACATCATCTCATTTTGCGTCATCGATGACGTCATAGATTTTTGACTAACGTGCAAAAAATCTTAGATCCGCCCCTGGCTGGACCTACTTCTTCTTCAAAAATGAATTTTAGGGATAATATATTGACTTGAACCTATTGAAATCCTTTGGCTGTGACTTTACACATTTGGTATCACAAGTGACAAGGCCTCCTATGACATCATGACTGTTCATTGATATTGGAAAGATAGTTCAATGCTTAAATGAATCAGGAACTTCATTTACAAAACAGACAATGAAAGACCCGATTTATCTTAAAGACAGTTTAAATTATAAATCTGTGAGATTCTAATATACACTCTAGTTTTTAAGATACATATTAACAGTTTACTCTACAATGAGGGGAAAATAATCTGAATATGAGAATTTTCTGTTACTCAAGTTTATGTTACATTTAGCACCAAGTATATTATTGTTGCTATCACCTTAGGGGCTGTTTACATGAGCCTGGCTAGCCATGCAGGCTGGCCCGGTTAACCAGTTTGAAGGCCTGCACAGGCTAGCCAGGTTACCTGAGCTGGTGACTTTACATGGAGAAATTTCAGCCTGGTTATCAGGGCGTCCCCTTTGACTCAAGTGAGATCTCGCCTAGGCAAATTCTTGTTAAATTATTTGTATTAAGCTGGGTGCCTCGGTTATCGGTTAACAGGACTAGTCGGCTCATGTAAATAGCCCCTTAGTTATTAAGACTTGTTGGCAGAGTAAAATATATCAGGCAATAAAACTGGTTTCAACTTGCAACAAATCGGATGTTGGTGCATGTAAGTTGTAGTGTTGTTTTTACAAAGGGAACCAAGTAAATAAAACTTTAACATGTAGTGTATTCTACTGTGTACAAGTTGTACAACCCCAAAAATGGAAACAACACTTTGATTTGAGTTGATTTCCATAAATCCATATTTTTTATCCATATTATCAATCCATATTTAATTTGATTTTAGTTCCATAAATACATATAATTTAGTTCCATAAATTTGAGTTTAGACCCATAAATCTATTAAGATCTGCAACAGACCTACATGCCCAAATGCCATCCAATGTAATGACCTAGATGATAATTTGTTTCTCCAAGGCCTTTGATCAAACAGAAAACACATTTGAAGGTCTTCATGTTCCAACAAATTGCTTTCTGGAGTACATCATGAATAATGCAAAATTGGTTTTGAGGTTGTGCATTTACTACAGTTTGAAATTTGCCAATCGTGAACTTTCCAACACTAAAAAGAAGAACAGAAAATATTTGAAGGTAGCACATCAGCGCAGTTTACTTAGTTTAGTCCAAAAACTTTTTTGTTAATTAAGAAAAGAAGCCCAATACAAAGACATCACATCCCCATTCACTGATCAGGTATATAATTTAGTACGAATAGTAGTACGAATTATAAAGATTGTCCTGTGATAACCCGAGCTGCTCTTCTTTGTAACTTAGAAAGTTTGTTAAGAATGGTATTAGATCCATTATTCCATATTGTTGAGCAATATGTCAGGTGAGGAGATACTAGAGCATTATACATTTTGATTAGAATGTGTAAAGGAACAAAGGACTTGCAATTGGCTCTTCTTAGTAATGCAATATTTTTTGAGATTTTTTTACATTGTGCGTCAATGTGCATACCCCACTTTAATTGATCGTCGATGATAAAACCAAGAGATTTTTTGTTGGTGACCCTTTTAATATTATTATCTCGTATGGCTAATGAAATCTCTGGGTTGTCTTCAAATTTAGTAAGATGATGTCTAGAGCCAAATATCATAAATTCCGTTTTGCTATCGTTTAGCGTGAGTTTGTTACATCTAAGCCAACTATGAACATTCTCAAGATCTCTTTAAAGTTTAGTCTCGATTTCATTGGCATCTAAGCCAGCACACGAAAGATTTGTGTCATCAGCAATCAAGTTGGCCTTGGTTGTTTCTAGACACTTAAGTAGATCGTTAATATACAAGAGGAATAGGATGGGGCCAAGGTTAGAACCTTGTGGTACTCCACACCTAATTTCTCTAGCATGTGATTTTCTTATTCATTAAACAAATCGATTTTCTATTTTGGATGTAAGATTCAAACCATGCGTAAGTAGTTCCTTTTATGCCGTATAGGTGAAGTTTCTTTAATAAGATTTCATGGTCGACAGTGTCAAAAGCTTTTTTCAAGTCCAAGAACAGGACTCCATTGATCAAGCCACTGCCCATGTTATATAACCACTCATTTGTCGAACCTAAGAGTGCCGTCTCAGTAGAGTCTAGCCCATGGAGATTGGATTTTCCGAGCAAGGACATCAAATATGACAACTTATTATTTTTCTTGCGGTCCGACATCATATTTTACGCTTTTCTGCAATCTGATTGGCTACGCGAGCGGTCTGTATGAGCCCGTACGAACCGCGAGAGATTCAAAGCCGTAGAGGCAATGTTTTTATTTTTGGAAATTTAAAGACGAGCGTATTTAAGGCTACTTTTTAACATTAAAATGTCTGCAGACGATGAAGAAAAGAGTGGAAGTGAATTTTACTATCCCACAGAAGATAGTACTCTTCCTAGCATTGATAGAAACGACGTTTTAGCGCCTAGAAGAGCAGTGGAGGGCCAAATTAGTCTAACTTCAGCCGAAGAACTTCCCGTGAAGTTCTTATAACGAAGAAACGTGAGCTTGTCCAACAATCTTTTTTCAATTATTTTCGCACAGCGTGAGTATCTAGGTTCACAACAACTGTCGGTATACTGTCTTTATGCAGAAAATTTATCTGTTACGCTACGTACTAACTTACAGACGAGAGTTCTTCTTACACCGGAAACGCCGAAGCTTATAATACTTGATATATACTATATACAATATCGGATACCCAGGTTATTTTCTCTACGGCCCTACCTAAATTTGGAGGAAAAAGCCTGGGTACCAGGTTGTACTACCTTGTACATATGTCTCTTTGAAGTAATTATTCCATACCTTATTTTTAATATAATGAGTCCAGAGATATTACATTACTTTACTTATCAAGTCTCGTCACCAGTTCAGCAAGAAATCGATGGAATTCCTCAACGGAAATTTGTGTACAATTTTCGAACTATAAATTTTAGGCTCTCCTGCACAAATTGAAGTTTATTATAATATATAGTGACAACATTAAAATAACTCATATAATTTATATCACAAAAACAAAACTAGTTACTACTATGTGCCCCCTTGCGAAAACCGCTTCGTGATAGGTTTACATCACCTTTAGCTAGCTATATTATTCTACAATAAATTCACAATAAGGTCAGAAGTGCGAACAAACTGAAGAACAGTGTATTTCAAATTTAAATAATAGCTTTTAAATGCATGTGCGGAAAACCCTTAATAGCATTTCCTACTCTCATATGACGAATGGTTGTTTGGAAAAGTGCTCCAAGGTGAAACAGGAACGGACGGATGTTCTTACGACTTCGAATTCATCCTATATTTCTTATCTTCAAACCTTAATGTTATTTTTTATTGTGTATATCCTGACATGATGAAAACAACTTAATTTTAATAAATCGTTTTTTGTAACGTGGTTCAGTTATCTGACCCACAATATCTCAAGTTGCAACCAGGAGAAGGACTCAATTTGTACACATAATACTGTTCTCCTTGCCTTCAGCAACTGTAGGATGACCACCACTCAACCACCCATGGGCAGTGGTTCCACATATTGGACCATTATAACATGTTGTCGAAAGTTTGATACCAGCTCCTCCTCCAAATTTGTACCATCCTGTGGAAAGACTGCTGTCACAGTGTCTTTCGCGTGGTAAATATTTCTCGTTTCTATTGCTTTCATTCAGCCATGTGTATACGAAGCATTCCTTCGGTGTCTGTAATAATGTGAAAATTTGAATTGAAGAAATATCTAGGCATTAATACTAGGGAAAGAACCAAATACAAAGCGTGATGTTAGCTCCACATAGGCTACATTGCAGAAAATCTTTAGAAATATGTTTGTTTCCCGGGAATTTCGACGGGATCTTGGGAAAATTTTGATTCGGATGCTGAACAAAACTGTACTGTACCTTATGAGAGCATAAACCGTTCTGTTTTGTATTTTAAATACTGTATTCTTCGACTTTGAAGGAGGATATTCTAAATTTTGGGGTAGGAAGGAGTATGAAAAACACATTTGTATGTGTGCGGAATTAGTAGTACCATGTAGCACTCGTAATGCTTCCTATTTATATAATCCATATGATCATGACAAACGTGGAAGATTGGTGAGAATCACATTTGTCCAAGTGTGAGCTGAATGAAGCATACTATATTGAAGTGGAAAATTTTTTAGTGATTTGCTAAATTTTCGCGATTAATAGTACCGCTCGTCTTTATAGTTGTGAGCCCTGATTAAATCATAATCATTCCCCGGATTTAAAAAGCCGAGCGGAAATAGCATCTTTGCACCGCGGCTATCGCTCTGCATGTACGTTGTCAACAGCGGGCCTACTTCAATTTTATTTCCTTATGGCAATATACTTTTTTACCTAAAATCCATAAAAGAATAATACAGGTTGACCCATGGAGCTTGCTTTTTTCTGTTGGGGCATCAAACATAACTAGTATAGCTGTATATTTTTGACAGCGTGAGTATTTTCGAACCACTGTCAGTATCGTGTCATTTTGCAGGAAATTACGGTATGCTATACTAACTTTCAAACTAAAATTCTGCTCTCGAAACGTCGAAGCTTATGGTACTCCCTTATAATAATCTAATCTTTGCCGGTGTAAAAAGCCTCGCCTCGGGCTATTGTTTAGGGTGTTGCTATCCGCCATTGGTTCGAGAATATGCTCAATGGAATCGCATCGTATGTGAAAACTGAATATTTGTAAATAGTACTGGAAATTCAATTTTAAGTACTTAAAGGGGTAGTGTCACGTTTCTACTGCGCATCCAAAATATGCGCTAACTTGAAAAACTGTCTGCCAACAATTAATCAAGTTAGGAGTGAAATACGATATACTATTTATAACAGCTTCGTTATGCAGGACATATTTGCTTTGTTTCACAAATTGAAGGCTCTTGCATTTTTCCCAACCATGTAGCATTAATTTTAAACGTTTCTTTGCGCCGTTTATTTTTAGCCGATCATTGCCGTAAGTTCTGGTTAGTTTTGCCCATTAATCTAAAGAGTCTATTAAAATTAGGAAAACATCAATTTTCTGCATACCACAACACGTAACAATGTCCAACTTCCGTTCTTTGTTGTGTTTCCCTCTTTAGTGCTGTTAGCAAGTTGGCAATTTTTATCAGCATTTCGTGCCGGTTCTGAAGTTAAATCCAACACATTTCGGTTCGTTGTAACAGAGAAAAGTGCACATTATTTGGACAGGGTGTTTAACATTGTGACTAGATATGATGTCTTGTTTCGGTAACGGTGGATGCTTTAAATGTAAAAAGAAAAAATGTAAAAAGAAATATTTTTCTTTATGATATGAGTTTATAATATAGCATTTGTAAATTCTGAACGCTGAATAGCTAAGAGCCGTGTTGATATAACTCAATGTTAATACGGAAAATTTATTTCTTTATATTTCTTTGTGCTATATTATAAAAAAAATATAAAACATTTTTCCGTATTGATATGCAGTTATATCAATACTCGTGGAAATTGGGAAAACTCGAAATTGTGTGAAAACACTCCGCCCCGTTTGGGCGTTGTGTTTCCACACAATTTCTCGTTTTCCTAATTCCCACTCGTGTTGATATAACTGCATGTATATCAACACGGAAAATGTTTTATATTTGTTAAATAGTATATATGAAGGGGAAGGAAGCTCTACAATAGGATTCCTAATTTCCAATCCCGCGTTCCGCGGCTAGAATTTATCATATGTAAATTTATATTAAATCGTTTCATTGTACGTTGAAACGATCACTTTTTATTTATTTTTAGTTGGTTATTATTTGTGTCTTGCTATAATTTAAAAAACCTTTATTATTATTATTATTTAAATTTATTTAAACACGGTAACCTATCAGTTTCCTGGTTTTCATAGGGCCGTGTATCTATTTACAAAAGTATACTATCTACAGACTAAAAACTAATTAATATCGTAATAACAAAATAGCATGCAATAATTGTTTTAAATCATATATATCTATAATAGTGACATAAATCATGCAAACACTCAACAATCTATGACTTGAAATATCCATTAATAGTACTTTTGAATGAGTCAATAGAGAGTTGATTGTAGTTATCCCTTATTTGCATAGGTAGTTTATTCTATGATGATGATCCACGATAACAGAAACTATTTTTCATAAATTTTGTCTAATAATAAGGTTTTTTTAAACAGAGATTTCTGTTATTACTTCAAAGGCTATAATCATTGTTGAAAGTAGCGGTGAAAAGGTTAGATAAATACTCTGGTGCGAAACTTTTAATCGCTTTAAAAGTCATCACAAGTTCGCGTTTTTTCAAAGTGGTTTTTAGTGGTTCCCAATTAAGTTTCTTGGAAATGTCAGAGGAACGTATCTCATAATTAGAACCTGTTATCACACGAGCTGCTCTTTTTTGCAATTTAACAAGCTTGTTCATATTTGTATTATTTCCATCATGCCATACATTGGAACAATGACTTAAATGGGGTAATTAAAATTAGCGCGTTATACATTGTCAAAAGTGTTTGTTCTGTTGGATAGTTTTTCGCCCTCCTTAGGAGGGCTATCTTTTTAGAAATTTTCTTACATTGTGCATCGATATGATCTTCCCATTTCAATTCTTTATCAATTTTTACACCCAAGACTTTTTTGTCCTGAACTCGTTCCACACTATGGTTGCCAATGACTATGTTTGGATTACGAGATAGGTTATTTAATTTCTGGCGTGATCCAATAATCATGTATTCAGTTTTCTCTTTATTTAATGTAAGTTTGTTACATGTTAGCCACGTTTGAACATTATTAAGATCGTTATTTAGTTTTTGCTCAATTTGTTCTGATGAAACACCTTCACATGCCAAGTTTGTGTCATCCGCAAACATCGAGGCATGCGTTGTTTCAAGGCAATTGGGTATACCGTTCATTGATATAAATTAAGAACAGTAATGGTCCAAGATTTGATCCGTGAGGGACACCACAATGTAGCGTTTGAGCATTGGATGAAGAGCCTGCAATTTTACAGATTTGTTGTCGCTGTTGAAGATAGGGTTGAAACCATTGGAATGCAATCCCACCTACTCCATAGCGTTTAAGTTTTAAAAGAAGAATTTTATGGTCGACTGTGTCGTAGGCCTTTTTTAAATCCAGAATCCATATTAAAAAGTCATTCGTCAGTTGACTGAAGCAGTATCGTTTCGGTTGAATGCAGTGGCCGAAAGTCAGACTGGTGTTTTGAAATAATGTTATTGTCGTCTAGGAATTTCGTGAGTTGTTCATAAACAATGGTGCTTTCGATAGCAAACAACTTAAAGTTACGTGGGATACGAAGAGCGAAGCAATACTTTTTGAAGGGACCAAAGCTAAAGATATTTCTAAACGAATACTTGTTATACAATTGTGGAATCAGTCGACCCGCGAAGAAAGCCAAAAATAGCGATCTTAACAATTAGTCCTTAGAATGTTTTATGGCCGAAGCGAGCATCGAAGTGATAATATTAGTTCTGATGAAACGCCAGGATTATGCACCTCTTTGTTGCAAGTAAGTAATATCTCTTGCTGCAATATCAGTAACAATCATGTCGAAAAAGTGCTCGGGCTAGGCGAGACTTGTAACCACAAAACTACCAACCAGGGTTTGTCCGAAGCAGAAATTACATCCATTGTCCCCAAGGTTGTGGCTGCCAATTCCTGTTGTGCCTGTTGTAACAAGCATAGACAGTATATTGATAAGTTAAATACTGAAATTTCGGGTCTCAAGAAGAAAGCTACGATTGGCAACCCTTGTTCTGCCTTTTGTGATTTGCATGGACGGGATATGATAAGTTAAATGCTGAAATCTTGAATCTTAAGAAGAAAGTTGCTTTTCTCGAAGGGAAAGAGTTAGCGAATTCAAGCATGAATATGCAAATTATTTACTTACAAAGAAATAATTCTTCTTTAATTAAGACTGTTAAAATGCTCAGTAAACAACTTTTAAACCTAAGCGAAGATAAAGGCGAAAACTTTTCAAAACTAACAAAGGGAAACAAAATAAGTTATTGCAACATGATCCTTCAGCTTGCGGATAACATAGACTTCAATGAAGGCAATCGGTCTTATCTCGAATATTTGTGTGGTCAAAATACTAATGCGACCTTTCAACTAAAAGAATAAAATTCTTTAACATTTTCTTTTGTACTACTCGCTTGGACAGAATCTGCACTAGATTACTTCTAAAGTGCCCTGATTTAATCGCCGAACCCCTTCGTCTCATCTTTAATCGTTCTATTATCACAGGAATATTTCCCAATAATGGAAATGCGCAAAAGTTGTCCCAATACATAAGCAATGGAAACGTAATTGCGTTGATAATTATCGTCCGATTTCCATTATCCCAGTTGTGGCTAAGGTTATTGAAAAGATAATTTATGACCAGGTACATTTGTATCTATCTGAAAATAAAACTCCTAAACTAATTGTCAGGGGTTTCGCGGCTTACATTCAACTGTCACCACTCTTCTTGAAGCCACTAATGAATGGGCTTATAACATAGACCATGGAAATGGAAATGTTGTTCTGTTTCTTGACCTCAAGAAATCGCTTGATACTGTAGATCACGAAATCTTGTTAGGTAAAGGCCATGTTACACGGTGCAATTTTTCTTGCAACTTGCAATGCAATTCTGCTCTTGAGAAATGTTAATTAGTGAAATCAGTGAAGAATTTTCGATATGTTGAGAAACAC